GTACAATTAATATTATATATTATATATAATATAATAATTATTAATTAACTGAAAGTTAAGCTTCACCCACCTTGAGCATACAAAGTCAGAACTGCCTGGATGGCTACATACACACCAGAAAACTGGTAAGTTTCAAACATTACCTAAAAGTGTAAAAGGAAGGGGAAAACATTAGTATTTAGAAATTACATTATATATATAATGTAATATATATATATATTAATATACTCTATCCTGATGGCCAGAGTGGATTAGCTGATGAAAATAGAATCAAAGGACCCAAAAGAATCTTCCATTCTCTTCAGCTGTTTCTTGCCTCTATTAAAGTCCTGCTGTCAGAGAACCCCAATTTTGAGGATGGATTTTTTTTTTTAATACATACTGAGTCCCCAAGCATTTCTTAAATGCTACAAAGCAGATTTCTGAGAGTTTTTAGCTAATGGCAGATTAGAGTGAAAGAAAGTGTTCTGTTTTTGAACAAGACTTTCTCATGTCCCTTAAGGGAAATGTCTTTTAATTTAAAGACAAACTATACAAACTACTTAACTGCCAATGTTCCCATCCGTTTCCCTCAACCTGGGCCAAGGAAGACTGTGGCTCTACCTTCAGGTAATAAACGGTATGGCAGAGAAACAAAACTAAACAATTCTTGAAAGCGGGCAGATCCAGAAGCTGCTCAGCTGCTGAGTCTGCGCTCCCCAATGGGGCAAGGCTGCGCTCCACGTGTGCTGAGGTCCACTGCAGGGAGGAGCTCCTTCACCTCCTCTCTGCTCACAATGCTGCTCATTGTCTATACCGCAGGTTGGCCGGGAATATTCCGTAGGATTTTCTCTGTCATTCACAGTTAGCATTCACTGACTGGCAGTGCAGACTACCACTATGAATATCTGATATTTAGAAATTTTACAACTGACCACAATGAGAATTATATACAATTTAAATTTTTACAACTCAGGGGAATTCCACAGTGGTCCAGTGGTTAAAACTCTGTGTTTCCACTGCTGGGGACACAATCCCTGGTCAGGGAACCAAGATCCCACATGCCATAGCCAAAACAAAACAAAAAACCCTCTAAACCACTATGCTGTATGCCTGAAACTTAACACAGCACTGTAAATCAATCATACTTCAATAAAACTAAATTAAAAAAAAAATTTTTAATCCTAATAAATAAATAAAAAAATTTTACGACTCTGAAACACAAACTCATCAATTAAGCACCTAAATTTTCTGACTAGCATTCTATTCCATCATCCTTTACCCCCTGCTACAGGGATGAAAATGGAAGAGGGATGCCCTATAGCTGACCCTTGAAAAACACAGGTCGTTCTGAATTGTGCAGGTTCATTCAATTGCAGATTTTTTTCAATAAATAAATACTACAACATTACATGATCCGAGATCAGCTGAATCCAGGGATGCAGAACCTGGGATACAGAGAGCAAATTATAAAGTTTTACACAAATTTTGACTGAGGGGGATTGGCACCCTTAACCTTGTGTTGTTCAAAGGTCATTTGCATTTATCAACTTGACAGTCCGTCAAAATTTGTTTTTATTCATAAGATCATTAAGAAGTATTTATAGTTCAGAAGCAACTTCCTGAATGAGATTAAAATGGGGCACTATCAGTCATAGTCAAATTTGTATTTATAAGTAAAAAAGAGCATTAAACAAAGAAGAGACCTAAGAGTGTATGGTAAGACTAATTCTTGCCACTTCTGCAGATTAAAAAAAAAAATCTGTCCTAGTCAAATAGTTAGTGGAGATCAGATATGATGTTATCCACTAAATAGCAAATGCCATCTCCCTAAATTTTCACTTGAAAGAAAACTTGGTTTCCATTCTGCTACTGTATTATTTTTTTGAAAGGGGTTTCCTTGTCTGGTAACCTCTTGATATAATACAAAAATATCTCTGCACTCTGTTTGCAATGCATTGCTAAAAATAAAGAGCAATTATAAATGACCACTTATCCATTACAAACTATTACTGACTATAAATCATTTAGAAAGTATAAAGCACAATTAAAATATAAATACAATAAAGCCCATTTTTCATAGTTTCAGGGGTAGCTACGAGAAAAAAAAGTAAATAAAAATATGAACCATAAGAAATGATATGATTCTGTAGCTAAAACCACAGTCTCAAAATTTGAAAATACAAAAATTTTAAATCTCTTCTACAATTTGCATCAACATCTCAACAGAGTCAATGAGTAAAACAAAATATTTACTTACATCAAGCAGTATCTGGAAAGCTGATAAAATACAATTAAAATTTTCTACCTCATATATAACAAATTAAAGGTAACTGTTGAAAAGTTACCTATCTAAAGTATTAAGAATGTAGACTTTTTGCTTTCTTTAACTGCCTACACCTCATTACTGTTTCCACCTCCTTTCCCAAGCCCTCCCATCTCCCTGGCCCTCAGCATTCTCCCCACTGTCTGCTATCACTTCTTTGGTTACCTATATTATCTATATCCTTGTGACTCCCAAGTTTATACCGCCAGTCTCAGACTTTTTTCCTAAACTTGACCTTATATATGTAACCATTTTTGCTTGGATGTCTAAAGAAAACATAACATGTCCAAAACTGAACTCCTGATTCATTTCCCTCCCAAATCCTGTCCTACTCTCAGTCTTTGCTCCAGTGAAACTTTCAGGGTTACCCCTCTATCACATGTATTTAAGAAATCAGGATATATTTTTGGTCCTACCTTCAAAACAGAGCCACAATCTGGCCACTTCTCATTACCCTCTCTGCTATTACCCCTAATCCTAACCATCATTATCTGGTGTCTAGATAACTGAAAAAAGTCTCCAAACTTGTCTTTCTTCTGCCCTTGCCTCCTTATGTTCTACATTCAACACAGCAGCCACAGAAACCTCAATCTGTAATAGCTCTTCCCTGTAACAGCCCTACACTTCACTCGGAGCTTAGATCTAAGCTCCTATTAAGAGCCTACAGGGACCTAGATGATTCAGCCCCAGTATTTCTCCCCCCTCCTCTCCCGCTGCTCTCCCACACTGGCTTCCTTGCCGACTAATATGCACGCTTGCTCCCATTTCAAGACCTTTACACTGGTTACTCCCTTTGCCTGGAATGCTTTTCCCCCAGTTAGTTACTCGCTAACTCCCTCCATTTAAATATCACCCTACAGACACATACTACCACACCTATGAAAAATGCAGCCTTCCTACATGCCCGATCTCCCTTACTCTTTCCCACCCCTCCTTTAGCATCTAGAATCTTCTAATAAACCATTCAATTAACTCACTTTTTTTGGTCTATTTTCCCCTGCTAGATGGTAAATTTCATAGCAGCAGGATTTTGACTTTGTTTACTGGTATATTCTACTTCTAATGACTAACATATACTTAGGTGCTCAATAAACAGGATCTGGGAGAAAGTAACAATTATTCTTATTTCCTTTATTCTCAACAACAGAGGTAACACAAAACAAAAAATTCTGCTTTAATATCACATCACGGAAACACATATATGCACAAGCCATCTAAAAACTTACCTCTACAATCTTCTCTCTGTTTTTGGTTGGGTTCATAGGAGGTTCTGTGAGTAAAATTTTACAATTCCTGGTATCTATGTTAAGTTTTTCTGGTCCAAATGTGTAGTCCCATAGGTGTTTCATGTCATCCCAATTTCGTACTATGCCATTTTCCATAGGGTAATTAACTTCTAACATCGAGCGTAATTCACTTGCCTCATCACCAACCATAAGATCCTAGAAAATTATAATATCAAAGCTTTAGACCAAATTTTTGCATAAAATACCATCAGAAAATTATCCTCTAATATTTTGGAAAACTGGGGAATAATTAATTTTAATATTTCTGGCACTTTCAGATAAATTTCTTCATTCCACAAGTTAAAAAGATCTTTCCTTTCATGAACAATGTCTCATAAATCTTAATCATGAATAGTTAAGTTTTTATGTACAATGTTGGTTTAAATCAATAAATTGACCTTACCTTTAATAAATATGTTTCCAAAAGAAGAGCATTAGCACAAATAAACCCCACATTTTCATATTTTGGAGGGGTTTGTATGAGGTTTCATCTCTTTCTTTTGCTCAAATGTTCAAAAAATAAGGCCTGTGATATGTGAGATAGCACATCAGGGGAAAAAAAACTTGTAGAAAAATGCTCAATGCATGCAGCACATTTCTTTGTACTAAATATCAAAATGATAAGTGTAGTACTATACAGCATAATGAGAAGCAAAAAATAAAATTATTTTGATTATACTGTAATAATGGATATACACACCACAAACTTGTAAGTTTCACAAACATCTACCTAGATATGCTTCAATTAAAACTGAAATTAAGCTTCAATATGTGCCTCACCAAGATGAAAGATAATTTGTAGAAACAAAAAATTAAGATGCAGAGAAGAAATTCTTCTTTAAAACTATCTCATAAGCAACATTTCCAATCTTAAGTATAATACTGGAAAACTACGCTATCACCCAGGAAGTAGAATACTCACAAGTCTTGTCTCTAACGAGCGCATACTTAAGATGACCCACATTTCAAAAGTCAAATTTTATGTGTATAGGGCTAATGATGTCTCAGAATTAAAACTTACTTTAAAAATTGGCTAGCCAAAATACTAAATAATTCTGATTTAAACATATACTGATGAACTAAAAAAAATCCTAGTATCAAAAATAGCTACTATTTGCTGTAAGATCTTAAGATGTTTTAAAACAGCAGTTTAAATAAATATATGACTTAAAAAATTTTTTAAATAATGATTTAAAAAAAAAAGAGATAAGAAACCAGGGTAAGGACTCTATTTAAAGATAACAACAACCAAAAAAATAAAAAAAACCCCACTGGAAAATCCACTGAAAGCAACAAAAAGGAAAAACAAAGTTAAAGCAGATGCTAGAAATATTCACTAAAATGTTTCTGTTGCAACTAAATTTCATATAAAATTAATGTACCGTGCCTTAATACTCAGACTTTTAAAATATTAACTATTTAGAATTATCTGATACAAAAATGAAAAACTAAATATCTTATATTAGAGAACTCTAGTAAATGACATGCATTTGTTGAATTACTTAGGGAGAAGAATACTGTTAATTTCAAATACACTGAAAGACAAGATACACTGATGGACTAACAGATAGATAAATAGATAGATATGTGATGTATCAGCATAGTAAACATTAGTGTCAGAATCTAGGTGATGGATGTATGGGTTTCATGATAAAATTCCTTTAATTTTGCTGTGTATTCCAAATACTTTATAATAAAATGTCAGGGGGAGGAATCTATATCTCCAAATACCCATATGACTTCTGGTCATCAATATAATTTAATATATAATGTTAGTTACTTTTTTCTGGAATGTATCTTTCTTTGTGTTATACAAGGTAATAACAGATTAGATAATTAAGATGGTTTATATCACTGGTACATATTCACAACTGTATTTCAACAAATTCAGTATAAATCTGGTCTAATTACATCTGACTATTTAGTTCTTATTCCATGCAAGAATAGGGGCCTACAGATGTCGGATCGAATACCAACTCAAAATAAAAGTGTCATGTGTCTACTTCTAGGCACACATACTATGAAGAATTAACTGAAAGAAACATCGGCATCGAGTATCTTACCATCCCTCTGAACAAAGAGGACATTTAAAATGGAAGAAAACCAGTATTAACTTGTCAAACTAGTGCAAACATTCTTGAGTAACTCGAGCTACCTACTTCAAAAATTTATCTAAAATTTTATTTCAAAAAATCCTAAAACATAGTTTTCTCTAGAACATTTCAACTTCCAAAACTTCAAAATGCTAAGTTTTATGGAACTTGCCTTCATCTCCAAGATCAAAATTACAAGTGGTCAGACCAGGCCTTGTTTTTTTTTTTTACCACCCACCTCATCACTGGACCTCAAGCCTAAACCATCACCTATTATCTGAAAAAATGAAAAGTTAACAGTAGCTGGCTAAGATGCTGTTTTAAAGGCATTTATATTTTATGAAAAGCAAGCAGTGTAGATTAGATACACCAAGAATCATTCTGAACAATGTCACCTCAAATTGGAAATTAGAGCAAATATACTCTAAAACCACAGTTTTATTAGAAAGAAATTTCATAAAAAAACATTGAAGAGTTGTCTGCAGGTACTCTCTTTTCTTAATCTCCTTAGGATTTTAAGACAAATGCATGATCTTTCATTTAGAATATAGTAATTTCCAGTTTTCCATGTTTTTGTTTATTCAAAAGAAAACTTGCCACTGATTTAACTAGTTACTGTTACTAGCTAAAATACTTATCACTAGAAAGGCATGATATTTATCTCTGTCAAAGTTACTTACAAATAATATTAAAAACAAACTTGAGAAGATCTACTATAGAAAAACTTAAGATTATCACAGAAAAATATAATAAGACTCAATTGCCGGGATGTGTCTAGTTCTAGTTCAAATGAAAAAGGCACAATGGTATTTATTTAGAGGGAAAACCCACTGTCAATGGAAAAGTGTTACAAGACTTCTACCTTTTTCTTATTTATAATCAGATAATGTAAAATCTGCTCATAAATAAGGATAATACAGTAAACAAATCAATCTCTTTTCCTCTCCTTTACTATTTATAGTTCATTTGCACATTACAATCTTACCTAGTTTATTAAATACACATATGATACTGTACCAGATGCAAATAAATACATATACAGGCTATGACAGGCAATGTCCAATTTAACAGTGGTCAGTAAAGTGAATTGATCCAAATGCAACAACTTCACCCCACTTTTCTGGATCACACATATCCTAAAGAAAGCCACTTGGTTTCTAACATAATGCACATTACATTCCATTTTAATCGTAACATTCATCCACAAAAAACACAAGGAAAACAATTCAAAACTATGTTAGTAATTAGTTCTGGTTTGGTCCATTGTATGCAATCAGGAGAGTATAGGACTTAATTAGTTGCTACCAAATTGAAGCAATGGAAAAGGTTAAAAAGCAAAGTACTTAGAAATTAAAATATGGAATCACCCCCCTCCCCAATACTAAAGGGACACAAAACAACAACTACTGTCCCACCAAGCAAAAGTGGAAAACAAACAGAGAGCATGTGTGTAACCTCACTTACCATCTTTTTGTTATTCTACTTCAACAGGTCAAGAAAGGTGAAGAGAGAGAAGGTAGAAGTAAGAGTCAGAAAAGGCCTAAATAAAATCCTCACTGAAATTTTTAAACATACAAGCAATAGAGACAAATTAGGTTGAGGCAGATGCAGTACTACTATAGTTTACGGAGTTAAAAATTAGGGCCAAATTAACACGGACAGTTATTACTCCTGAATGAAAGTTAACTCATTAAACAATTTAAATTTCCAATTTTCAGTCTACCACATTTTAGGTAACAAGACACAAAAACTATAAATCAATCCACTAGGCATAGGTATTCCAAAAAAGTCAAATTTCTTTCATTTGTTACTGGATTTAAGAACCTTAATTAAGGAAAATAAACAGCAGAAAAGGTCTAGCTGAGTAGGTAAAGGGTGTTTAGAGTGATTTTCCAAGCTCTAGTAGTCAGGTTAAATTTGACACAGTTCTCTTTTCTTTCACTGTTTTCTACTGGAAGAACAAATTAACTTTAAAGACTTAAAAAGATTAAGCAGATTGAACAGAAGTAAACCAACTGACAAACCATACAAGCAAATGCTACTGGGGAATTCCTTAGCAAAAATGTCTTGAGTATCATCTAGTCTCATTTCTATCACTTGCCCTTAAAAAGCAAGGAAAGTGGGAGTGAAAATATAGGTAATTATATGTGACTATGCTGGACAAGAAAAACAGCTATATGTGATGTAGTTTAATACCTCAAAAATGTTATCCATAAAGTATATTAAAAAGCCATTCTTCTTTAAAAGGCTGATACTGAATAAAAATGACTTTCAACATTATTAAAAAAAAAAACTTTATCCTTATCACTATTACCAGCTAAATTTCACGCTGAAGTTCATTTAAGATGGAATTCAATCAGAACGAAAGGAGTTAACAAAAAGAGAATATGGGATTCTGTAAAATTTCCAAAAGACCCTAAAAAAAAAAAAAAACCCAAACCAAAAAACTCTCATATTGAGTATCCCTTCTGATTGTAATAAAACAGAGGCCAGAATCATTCACTCTTTTAAGTCTTTAAAAAAATTATCACAGAACCTAAGTTTCAGTTTGTATTTTTATTCATCGTGTAACTCAATCCTCTAGTTGCAACAGCAGAGAGCTCTTAAGCAGCAAATGTCTACTATCTATTACCAGCTTTCTAGACACCTCAAACAAATGTCGCCAAGATGGGTACCTTAACTTACAACCTAACAAACTCTCTGAAGTCTTGTCAAGGACCGTCCAGGCAGGACCAATGACGCTAGTCTGTTCACAAATGATGCCTAAAACGGCTTCAAAATTCTACTACATTTCGTATAAACTAACCTGATCCCTGTGCTATCTGAAGATTTTAAGTGAAGTGGTAACCAATGACTTTTGATTGTTCTTTTTTTTTTTCCTTCTAAAATATTGTAACTCCTTTTTGATTTCCACCTCCTCTAACAGAAGACAAAAATCTATTAAGGTCCAATCTCATGTTAAGGACGGTATGTAGGCACTGACAACATTCCCTCCCTTCTCCTTGTCCTAAGATAAATGATGCAAATCAAATCGACTTGCACAGCTTCCTTCTGCACACTGTGGAAATCAGTTATGATATTGGTGAAAAAAGGAACCAATAAGATGCACACTCTATTTTTCCTGACTAGCTATATAAAAATGTAGGGGTATCAGGCCATGAGAACATGGAAGGAGGAGTTTCAGCTCCCAAAGAGACACTAACACTGAATGACAAATATATGGAATTGGAAAGACATAAAAATACCAGGCTGATTTCTTTTAAAATTATATTATAGGACTTTAAGTCACTAATACAGCATTCACATCAACATAAAAATCTTATTTTTATTGTATTCAGAGAGTAATGGCATCAAGCTATACTTAAAGTCAGACGAAATTACTTTCAGTTTCTCTGCCTTTCTTCACGTGTTGATAAAAATTTTAAATATAAGAAATTCGGCCCTCCTCCTTTGCTTTTCAAGGCATCACATTTTAAAACTACTTAATTCAAAGAACACTTCAGTAGGTTTTGCTCCTCGTTTATCAATAAATAAAATATTACCTTGATTTCAATGTTTCCCACTTTGGTGGTCGATCTGATAATAGGTCTTCCAACCAAAGCTGGGAAGATATGTTCTGGAAAATTAGAGCCTGCATATCCACACTTCACAAACTGGAAAAGAACAGTAAAAGTGGGTTAGTGTCAAAGTATTTACACTATTATCCATTTAAAAACTGTATCTGAAAAGTACTGCTTTGCATTTATATAATATTCTAAATTTTTGGTGCTTTGAAATTACCCAAAGTAATCACCCCGTCTATCATATCCTCCATTTGTTTCCTTCATGGCACGACTACTGGAGTTCCCATTTCTTGACTGGTTAACTCTTTCTGAGGGAAAGCCTCAAGGGAGCTAAGCTGAGCACGCATGCTGGAACCTGCTGCCTTGACGCACAGCAAAGAAGGGACAAGTTCATTCAATGAATGCTAAGGATTTTTAAAAGAAATGTCAGAAAATGAACAGAACGAAAGCAGACTTTCATTCATGTCTGGCAATTCACTTAAGTAACACCATTTTCCAAAATGGGAAAATCAAATGGCATCTGGACTAGCATCAAGTTAAACATTTATTAGGCATTTTTGGCTATTTACATTTTTATATTTAGAGAAACATTTAGTAATACCAGGTGACATAAGTTCATATTCAGATAGTGTACTTCGCCAATGAGGATGTAGCATTGATTCTAATAATACTTCCACTTTATGAATAAGAAACAGATACACTAGGAGATTTAACGACTACAATAAAACTGAAAATAGAACCAAGGGTTTTTAATGTTTACATCAATAATACAGTCTGTTTAGCCTTATTTTTAAGAGCAGCCATTACAAGGAAAAGGCAGTTTAAAAAGTTCAGGGTGGGAGGAAGAAGCTATATAAGAGAGGAGCTGTCATCAACCTCTACCATTCCCTTAACAAGATTTTCTGCAATATACAGTACACTGTGCAAACACTTTTGTGTCTACTGATGAATCCCAAGCACCCAGAACAGCGTCTGACACATACTAGGTACATATTATTTAACTGATCAATAAAAATGAAAAGTTTTGCTGCTGACTCAAGAGTACAATACTATGATTATTTTAATAGAGAGAACATGTTCAATATTGAGACAATCTATTGTTCCATGGATTTGGCACCACATTCTCTTAGAAGAATTAAGGAGAAAAACAATACCTGCATGTGACATATGACAGAAATAACACAAAAGTGGACAGAAAGCTGTTACATACAAGGAACTGTTTTGTTTGATGGTGGTAAAAGCTAGCAACAACCTGAAACTCAATGACTTCTAACTCTCTAACATACAAAATTTTTCTATTTCAAAGACAACCTTGTTGGAAATGATGTTGAACCACATTTAATTATAAATAGCCTAGAACATTCTGCCATGCATAACTGCAAGTCTTTTTAAAATAGTGCTTTAAAAAAATATGTTAAAATCTTGTCTTCAGCAGACTGAAGCTACTAGTCTGAAAAAAATCTGTCTAAAATTTAAAAATTGCACATTTCCAATACCACCTGAATTCATATCCCCTCATTCAAGTTCACATTTTAGAATTTACATAAAATAAACCATTCAAATAGGTTTTCTTCCAAACCCACAAAACCTAGTCCTGCTCAGATTGCCACTGAACCTAGGTTTTCTAAAACCTAAAACTATGATACAATTCTTTCTGGATTACCTTCCAAGGCTGAGAAGTTAGTGTGATATATGATGACATATGCAATAGATATCCTGCTTGCTCAGACCTACCTCTGCCGTAATAGTGGTTGATAGTAAAGAACAATATACTTCCCACCCTAAAAAAAAAAGTGCTTAACAGAATTCAGAAGTGTTAGGTCATTTTTCCACAGTATCTTCCCAAATAATTGATCAATCTGACCCAGAAAGAGTTGGAGTGACAGCTGCAGCAGAGGAAAAGAATACCACTCAGGATTCTCTAGTCTACTCAAATCAAAAGGAAAAAACCTCTCACACTCGTCTCTTCTGAATCAAACTCTCTAGTCCTTAAGCCAAAAGCCAGCTCACTTGACGTGAACTGAAATCAGATGTAAGACCAGAGAATCTCTTCTCATTATGTCACTATATTTAAATTTCTACATAAATAAAACCTGTCATGACCACCAGACAAGTATCAGCTTTAGTCATAATTTATACATATATTCCAAATATAGGTAGCAAATACAATATACACATTAAATTTTTATGTAGTGACATGATGAGCAGATAAACACACTAGGTGGGTCAAAAGTGTCCATGGGTATAAATGTTCTTAAAGAAAATTATAAAATGAATGAAAAAAAGAATCTACACATTTGTAAAGGCAACTTCAGCATATTAAATGTAAACCAATGATTTAACTGAGAAATCTTAACACTAGGTGAAGATGGGAGGGGGAGCCTGGGATGGAGCCTAAGTCAAGTCATGTCCGTCCCATCCTCACCCCCAGGCAGTCAGGAGGTTGGGGAGGCAAAATTCTTGTTCTACATATTTCGCAGGACAACATATTCGCCAAGTGCCTAAGGTAAGAAGACAAAAATTAAGAATTCCTAAAACTATAAAAATAACTCTGAACTACTATTCCTGTGCTTTATTAAAAGATGAAGGAACGTCTCTGGAGGCCCAGTGGCTAAGACTCCGCATTCCCAATGCAGGGAGACCAGGGATCAGGGAACTAGATCCCACATGCCACAACTAAAGATCCCATGTGCCATAACTAACGTAGTGCCACCAAATAAATACATTAATTAAAATAAATATTTTTTAAAATTATTTAAAAAATGGAAAGTTGGCTTTTAGTTCAAATTAAAGATAGCAATCACTAATTAATGAAATTATTTACTCTGATTAAGCAGTTAACTTATTGGAAGTAGATGCTGCCACAGTAATCCAATGCTAGCATTCCTACAAGGAACTAGTGTTTGGTCAAAATGGCAATAGCTGCACTACATCACATTATTTCAAATGTCAACACATTAGCAGTTAAAATAACAAGAATGTAATTACAATGATCTATTTCTCAGTAATATATAACCAACAGACAACCTGGCATTTCCTTTCTTGCAAAAAAGCCAAAAATTTTTTTTAAAGATCTAAACCATAATGTAATAAAATACAAAGAAAATATTCTTTTCTAAACTACTTGTTTGGCATAACTTTAATTCTTGAAATACCTTCCCCGACTTCAATCATTTTAAGACTTGGTGATTTAGTTCTCTCACTGTGTGCAATAAGGCTGTGTTTAAGAAATAGACTTTACCATATATAGTTTCCTCTTCATAGCACTGTGGTTTAAACAGGCTCCCTTACTTCCCACTGAGTCATCAAATGGTAAGAACATGAACAATATAATTTTCTTTCAAGAAAAAAAAAAAGCCCACATACATTTGCTCTAAAGGTATCTTTCTCCCCTCAAAAAAACAAACTGGGATTTATAAAGCTTCATTTGGGCTTATTTAATTTGTATTTTTCCTTTATTATTTTAAACAAATGGCACTGATATAATGATTTAATTGCATAGTAATTACTCTGATCTAAGACCACCAAAATATTTATTCTGTTTATTCCAAAGCATTTTCTAGGGTTAAACCAAATCTACTTTTGATTTGGTTCTAACACTCCTAAATCCAACACATAAATTTGTTTAAGCCTGATAAACCAAGCTGTAATCAACTATAAATGTAAATTGTAAAAGTACAATTTAAAAAAAAGTGTAACTATCTTAACACTACAAGCTACTTTGTATCACTGGACCCTAAAAATTATACCAGTCACACAGCAGGCACTCTGCTGTGAGAAGGAGTGAAGTCTTCACTGTTGGTAAACTAACTCAGTGTTGAGGAAATCACCCAAGTTTGGCAAAAGAATACACAATATCAGGGGCCTGGGCCCAACCCTTGAAAGGCACCTAAACCGAAGCAGATCTCCACATCTTCACCTATCTGGCCACTTTTCACAGCTTTATTTTAGGTGGCCGTTTACACAGGCTCCATTTTAGGTTTGGATGGTTATGAGGATGAAGTGCATAAGGTATTGGAATCGGATGAGCTTTCCTCCTCTAGGAGGCCCTACAGAGGCATTGATCGGCTTGGGAGCTGGAGAGGTTGAGGAGCAGGACCACAGCCTGGCATGTGATCAGAAGAACTCATCTACCCTTAGGGCTTTCAATTTAGGGCCTGCCAGAGAGGCTTAAAAAAAAATAATCAACTTCTCAAATGGCCTATAATTTTAAAACCTAAAATGTGCTGAGTGGCAAGTTGCTTTAGAGTAACAACTACTCTCATAAATTTTTAGAAATTAAATTTTAGTTATCTCCTTTATCATAGAGGAATCATTAGACCTTCAGGTACCTAAATAAAATCAAGAGGACTATGAAGTATAAGAAATACAGACTCTAAGTGGCTCCTAATTTTCTAAATGTTCAGAAATAGCATAGCATTCTTGACTACATACTACATCAGAGCTTTCTTCATGACATTTCTTCATGAAGTCAATCATGGCCTATAGAAAATCTGGATATTTAAACTAATTAGAAATACAATGCCAAATATTACACAAGGTTTTGTTTGAATTAACTACACTTTTCTACTTAGGTCATAGTAACTTATCTTTTGTCTTAAAGAACAAGGTTCTTAAATTATAGATTCGGCATAAGGCTAATCAAATACACAATGAGTTTTCTAACAAGCTAGTGAAACAGTAACATAAAACTAATTATGGGACTTCCCTGTCAGTCCAGTGCTTCCACTATAGCGGGCGTGGGTTCCATCCCTGGCCAGAGAACTAAGATCCCCACATGCCAAATGGCCAAAAAAAAAAAAAGTTTAAGAAAAAGAAAAAAAAATTTTTTTAAATTAAATATTATGAAAAAACATACACTACAAAAGCTGGTTTCACTGTCCTTCAAAGAGGAGGAATCCATTAAAATATAACTGACTTCAATTTCTTTAAAAAAAAAACAAAAAACTGGCATAGTCACAAAAAATAATTATCAGTTTTTAAAAGATTTACATTTCTTTAGATGTCAATTTGAGACTACAGGGGGGAATTAGGCCAATTTTTTTTTAAAAAGCACCTTTAAACTGAGTTTTAACTGTAAAAGGAACACACAATTTCATTTAAAGACAGTTTAACATTACATGGTTTGTTAAAAAACAAAGAACATTTTCTCAACAATTGAGTCATGAATTCCTTCCCACCTGACCTCACTTTTATCCCTAGTCTCACAGGTAACCACTATGAACTTAAATTTCTCAGAAATCCCTTCAAAACTTTCACATACACATACACATTTGTGGACACATAAATAACTTTAATAAAGGACACGCACATAAATGGAAATAAAATTTTTAAATGTTTCTGTAGTGATGAACCGGCCTCTTTTTAAGTACTATGCTGTTTTGTATGAACGCCGCATTAAATGATAACACTCTTCTTACTCTCCTCCATTTTCAACTTAGTTCAGATAAAGCTAGTATAATCATTGCTTGTAAAAATTCAATCAAGGGCAGTATTATGGCGGTGAATATCAGCTCTTTTTTCCCCTCAACTATCCAGTTTCCAAAGTGACTTGAAGTTCATACAAAATCTATTTTAATTCATACATTACATTTATGGAAGGAAGGGGATAAAGTGACAAAATACTGCAGCTTCAAAATGGCTAGAAATTGCTGTAACGCAGGGGGAAGTGATCACTACAGAACTCACCCAAAATAAGTAACAGTTCTGTATTCTAACTTGCTGACTTCGCTGCCTAAAATACATTTTTTTTTAATTGGGGGGAGGGGCGACTGAAACAACTTTCAAATAATGTCTGAATCAGTGTTTTACTCTGATTTTTACAATTATTTGCATTCTCAGGATCTTAAATACTAGCATTAACTGTAGTCTGCCAATAAGGAAAAAAATGAGGAGGGGTACCCAAACTGATTAACCTCCCTAAGGTTAGTGGAATTAACACTTGGGCCTTAATGGATCAAGATCAAGCAGGAAACATATTGGTCTCTGCGGGGCTGCACCTGGGCCAAATTTCCAGCACGGAGAACAAAAAGCAAATGATGCACAGCCGATCTGGCCTTCCCTCCTCTCAGAAAACAAGAAACAAAACAACAAAAGCTTCAAACACTGCGAAAGGACTGAGGTTCGTTGCATGACAGCACTTCCCTTTTTTCTTTAAACCCGTTTCCTGCCTCCTGTTCCGTATCTTCAACTCTACAGGAAGAGGAAGGCCTCTAGATCTTTTTCCTTTTTACACACCGGCGACCCTGGAGAGTGAAGCCCTTTCGCAACGTACAAGCCCAGCCTTTTACCCCTCCAGCCCTCTAGCCAAATTCCTGCGGCTAGAGCGCTGGGCCGGCCCCGGCCCGGTAGCAGGTGAGAACCCCATCCATCGCCGGCCTCGCCCGCCGTCCTGACCCGGAGTTGCGGGAGTGCCCGGCTCGGGGCTACTTAAAGTGGTCCAGCCTGCTCGAGCCCCACACCCACACGGGCGGAAAGCGCGGGCCAGCGCCCCTTGGCCCGGGCGGCAGAGGGCCCAGGGGTGCAGCCCCGGGCGCTTTAGGCCCGCGCGCCCCCAGCACATCCGCGCCCCGGCCCGGGGCCGCTGCAGCCTCCCCGCCGAGCGCTTACCCCGGTGCCGTTGTCGCACACTACCACCTTCCTGCCCTGGCTGTCCATCGTCCTCCCGGAAGAGAGCCGGAGCCGGAGCCGCTGCCGAACAACCTAGAGCACCCACCGTCCGCCTCGTTCCTCTTCCTCCTCCTCCCTCTTCCCGGCCCCGCCTTCGGTCTAACTTTTTTCCCCCAACCGGAAGTGACCGCCAGGTCCCACCCGCCACCTAACAAACTGCCTGCAAGGAAGAGGCGGGGACGGGAGGAAGGAGGCCGAGACTGGCAGTAGTGAACTCCAATAAGAAAAAAAGGGAAAAAAAAAAAAGAAAAAAGGAGCCCAAGACCCCGCCTACGGCGCCAGTCCGGCTCCCGCGCCTGCTCCTCCTTTAGGGTCGCCGCCCTTCCGGGTTCTTCCTGTAGGCGTCTAGTTCCCGACCCTTTGGTGGGCTATGATGGTAGCCGAGCTGCCAGGCGGTTTGCCCTGCTTTCTAAGGCTTCGCAGGAGTTGGGGGTTTCCCGGCTGCAGGCAGATGAAGGACAGTGGGTTTGTGGCGAGAGGGCATTGAAATGTGACAGAAGCCTGCCGGCAGGGCCGAAACGGAAGACACCCTTGCTAACCCCACCATTGAATGAGACTTGGTGTGTCATTCCTTCTAGGCCTTTTCATTGGGCGGAGCTGGGATCGGTATAGACACATGAAATCGTTCATTTATACCGATCCCTCCGTTTCCAGTCCAACCCATCTTGTCCGGGTTTGCCGTTAGTTAGGTAAGCCTCACTGCTCACCACTTCCCTTCCAGCAGCACCATATTGCTTCACACCTCTATTGTACCTGTTTGAACCCAGGCTCTCAACTTTGAAATCGGGCAACCCTGCTTTCAAATACGGCCCTGCCAACGAAGACTTATGTGATCTGGGCCTACCCCCGTGTATTTACGGGGATAGCAATCTCTCTTCCATGGGTTGTATGCTTAAAGGACATGGCAACCCACTCCAGTATTCTTGCCTGGAAAATCCCATAGACAGAGGAGCCTGGCAGGCTATAGTCCATGGGGTCGCAGAGATTGGGACAGGATTTAGTGACTACACAGCAAAGTAAGCAGTCCATTCAGTGGACGCTATTTACTGTTAATTCCATATTCTTAAGCTCGAGTGTGCGTGCTCAGTCGTGTCCTACTGTTTGTGATCCTACGGACTGTGGCGGGCCAGGCCTCTCGTTCCTTGGGCTTTTAAAGGCAAGAACACTGGAGTGGGGATCTTCCCAACCCAGGGGTGGAATCCCACTCGCATTCACTCGCAGGTCGATTCTCTACCACTGAGCCTCTTGGGAAGCCCTCTTAAACTTGTAGATCTCTCTATAGTGCTCCTGCCTTTTTTCTTTTTAATCAATCAGGAGACTTAAGCTCTCAGAGCCGGTTGTCACATCTTTGAAGACTTTTCCGATAATCTCCAAGATGCTCTTTATTCTTGTTCCTTGCTATTATTTTACCATGGGTGTTTGAATATTGTGCTTGTTACACTTAACAAGTATTTATTGTATGAATGACATTAATCTATTAAAAATGCCATCATATTTGAGAGGTGAGAACTAGGACTGTGCCTTTCTCTTGCTGTACATGTATATTGACAAGAATAAAACTTGGATGATGAACCCCTAGTTTGGTATTATAATACTAGACTGCTTCTCAGTTTCACTCTGTTCTTTTATCAGTAGTTTTCGAACTTTATAAAGATGAAGAATGCTTTATTTAAATTTAATCTTAAATGGAAACCCAGTATATTAAAATAGATCAAAATAAGGGAGTTCCGTGGTAGTCTAGTGGCTAGGATTCTGTGCTTTCACTGTGGTGGCCTGGGGTTCAGCCCCTGGTCGGGGAACTGAGATCCCACAAGCTGAACAGTCAAAATTTGAGGGGGGAAAAATCAAAATAAAACTGCCATAGTTGTTGGAAGTTTGAAAATTTAGGATGGGTTAAGGCCACAGGGAAATCTGTCTTCCCTGCATCTGCTTCTGTAGTCACTGAGTTATCTCAGCCTGCTGAACTTTGCAGTAGTTCATAAATTACACATCTTACTTTTGTGGTCAGGTGTGCTGCAGTCCATGGGGTCCCAAAGAGTCAGATGTGACTGAGTGACAGAAAACCAACAACCTTTGTGGCCTGAGTATTAGTACTGTGCAGTTTTTTCTGAAAGTGTATTTAATTGGTCTCAGCAAATTGAATTCAATAATTTCTGTGTCCTTTTACTTTTCCTCTTTATGAAATTTAATGGATTACTAATTTTTACTCTTTAAGAAGTAGCATTTGTTGTTCTGGTTACAAAATCAGTAGATGCAGATGTTAGAAAATATCAACAAACATCTATTTGCTACACTAATGAAAATGCAGTAAAACCCCTTGATTATGCAGATTCAGATATAATGCTCTTGGTGACTGGCTCCTGTCTTCTGTACCAGCCTCATCCTGATCATTTCACTTTCCTCAAAATAATGTGACCTCACATTTTAGGTGATTGAATTGTGTGTGGGGGGGTGTGTGTGTGTGTGCATGTGTGTGTGGAAGAGAGTTTCATTTCTAGCCTTCTGCTGAAATTTTATGTATATTATTCTGCACAAAATCTTGCTAGGCAGGTCTTTCCTTTTTACATATGACAAAATGGGAGCATTAAAAAAATTAAGTCTACCAAGATCTACATACAGAAATAAATATATTTAGATATGCCATCAGCAGACAATCTGAGAATTAAAGAGAACAATTTTATTTACAAGAGTATAAGAAAAATACAAATAAATATAATGAAAGTAATTCAAGACCTATACACTGAAAACTACACAACATTGTTGAGAGAAATGAAAGATCCAGGTAAATAAATATACCATTGTCATAAATTGAACACTTGTTAAGATGACAGTTCTCTTCAAATTGATCTACAGATTCAATATAATCTCTATCAAAACCCCAACAGTCCTTTCTCTTTTTAGAATTGACAAGTTTGATTCTAAAGTTTATGTGGAAATGCAAAGGAACCAGAATATCCAAAGCAGTTTTGAAAAAGAAAAGTGAAAGAGGCAGACTTCCACTGCTGCTGCTGCTGCTAAGTCCCTTCAGTCGTGTCCGACTCTGGGCAACCCCATAGAGGGCAGCCTACCAGGCTCCTCTGTCTCTGGGATTCTCCAGGCAAGAATACTGGAATGGGTTGCCATTTCCTTCTCCAAGACTTCCACTATCTGATTTCAAAACTTACTATGAAGCTACAGTAATGAATACAGTGTGGTATTGGCACAAGGATAAATGTATAGATCAATGGAACAGAAGAGACAGCCCAGAAATAAACTCTAACATTTATGGTCATTTGATTTTCAACAAATGTGCTAAAACAATTCAATGGGGAAACAGTAATTTTTTTTTTTTACACAAGTAGTGCTGAGATAATGGAATATACATGTATGCTGCTGCTACTCAGTCACTCAACTGTGTCCAACTCTTTGCGACCCCACGGACTGTAACCCACCAGGCTCCTCTGTCCATGGGATTTTCCAGGCAAGAATACCAGAGTGGGTTGCATGTCTGACTCCAGGGGATCCTCCAGACCCAGGGCTTAAACCGACATTTCTTGCGTCTCCTGAATTGGCAGGTGGATTCTTTACACCTGGAAGCCCCAAGTTTCCACGTGTAGTGGGAAAAGAACTTTGATCCTTACCTCACACAGTACATAAAAATTAATTCAAATGAATCATAGGCCCAAATGTAAAAGAGCTAAAACTACATAATTTCTTGAAAAAAACAGGAGAAAAATCTTCCAAAAAAATTCTTCATTTTGGCCGTGCTGGGTCTTAGTTGTGGCTCTTGGGATCTTTGTTACAACATGCATGCGCTATCTAGTTCCCTGAACAGGGCTCAAACCCAGGCCCCCTACGTTAGGAGGACTTCCCCAGGGAAGTCCAAGGGGAAAAATCTTTTGATGTTGAGTTAAAAATGACCTAGATATGACACCAAAATCATGATCCATAAAAGAAAAAACTGATACACTTAATAGAAATGTAACACTTTTAAGTCATGTATTAAGAAAAGAAAAAGACTAGCTACAGACTAGAAGAAAATATATGTAAATCACATAGCCAACAAAGTACTTGTATCCAGAATAAATTAAGAACACTTAGGAACTTCCCTGGTGGCTCAGTGATAAAGAATCTGCCTGCCAATGCAGCAGACATGGGATCGATCAGAAATGATCCCACAAGCTGAGGACCAACTAAACCCATGTGCCACAACTATTGGGCCTGTGCTCTAGAGCCCAGGAGCTGCAACTACTAAGCCCACATGCTGCAACTATGGAAGCCTGGGTGCCTAGAGCCCGTGCTCCACAACAAGAGAAGCCACCTCAATGAGAAGCCCATGCACCACAACCCAACTAGAGAGTAGCCCCCACTCTCCAGAAAAACCCATGCAGAGAAAAGAGAAAAACCCATGCAGCAATGAAGATTCAGCACAGCCAAAAATAATTTTTTTTTAAATTTAAAAATAGTTATAACAATGAGAAGACACATTATCTAATCAAAAAGTGGACAAAAGATTTAAGTAAACATTTCACTGATGGAGATATGCATGTGAAAAGATGCTCAATGTCATTAGTCATTAGGGAAATGATTATAAGATACCACTTTATACTCACTAGAATGTCTATAATCAAAAGGAGAAAAGAACATCTATTGGCAAAGATGTGGAGAAACTGGAACCCTCAAACATCACTGGTAGGAATGTACAATGGTGCAGCAACTTTGGAAAGCAGTCTGGCAGTTTTTCAAAAAGTTAAACCTAAAGTCACTATACCTAGCAATACCACTCCTAGATATTATACCCAAGAGAAATGAAAAATTATATTCACAGACTTGTACACCAATGTTTGTAGTGGCATTACTCATAACAGGCAAACAGTAGAAACAATTCAAATGTCCTGGAATCTGTGAATGAGTAAACTAAGTGGTATATCCTTACAATGGAATAGTGTTTGGCAGTTAAAGGAAACTACATGCTACAACATGGATGAGACTTAAAAATATACCAGCTGCAAAAGACTCTGTGTTGTATGATTCCAATTATATAAAATGTCTAGAAAAAGCAGATGTGTAGATATAGGAAGCATATCAGTGTTCACTCAGGCTGGGAGTACAGGTTTAACTGAAT